GAAGAAAAAAAAAGAGAGTGATATTGTTTATTAGGGAAAATAAGTTAAATGAACCTAAAGAAAGAGGAAATTCCTGTTCCATTGTACAGGTGTATGAGGAAATCCAAATATCAAGACCAAAGTCTAAAATGGGCTTTAAAAATCTGAGTGTGTTTGCGTATGTTGGGGGCAGGGAACATTCTGTCCTTGAAACCACTATTCATTGGTCTATTTTGATCAGATTGTCATCTGTTTCCTGAATAGTTTGAAAGCTAACTTCTTTTCTATAAATTGAGAAATTCCTAACATGATTTATCATGCTATTTTGTGAGATAGTACTATAGCATCTGTAAAACATTAGTACAATTTTCTACACTCATTCCATAAGCGAGCCTTGGCAGCAGTCTTGATCTCAGGCCTCACTGAGTATGTCTGAAATTCTTATTGACAGGCTGAAGGCTGGATCCCTACTCTGAAGAGAGACTATCGAACTTTCATATAATTTCAACACTCAATGTTGGAACTGAGTTTTTCCATTTTCCCTGACAATCTTTTGCTGTCTTAAAAGTATTTAAGTGGAAAAGAGAAAGTACATTTTTATCTTTGGCTTTTACTCCTATTTGAGAGATACTTCATATTTTCCCTAGGGCCCTATCAATGGATTTTGGGGGGAAGTCATACTGTTCACATTGGGAACCAAATGTTAAAAGGTCCAAATGGCAGCAGCGTCTGTACTCCACCAGAAGCTTCCAGATCATGAAAGTTTATGTGCCCAAGAATGAATGCCAAGATGTATGTCTTCTTCTAAGGGAGGTTCTCCCCTCTTTAACGTTTGTGCTCTCCCTCCATGCATGCCAAGCAGAATGAAAGTCAGGAAGCTAATCTTCCTGAATGTGGAGGCACCTGATAGAGCTCATCTTCATTCAACTGGTCCAGTCCAGTGGGATCTTTGATATTTAGCTTTATTAGCACAGAGTGAGAGATGTTTTGCAACACTTTTCAATTGGTGGTGAAATAGGCCAGTGACTTGGTTGTCAGGAAGTTGATGTCAAGCATAGACCACAATTTCTGTTGTCCAAATGACCAGGAAGACTCATGATAAAGTTTAGCAATGATAATACCTCACACAAATGGAATTTATGATGTCAGGCTTTAATTCCAAATACTTTAAATATGTTAACTCATTATGTTGACAACAATCCTGTGACTTGGATCCATTATCATTTCCACTCTAAGGATGAGAAGATTGAGGCCACTAAAGATCTATGGTCACAAATTTATAAAGTAGTAGAAGTGAAATTTGGACCCATTCAGTCTGACTCTGGAGCATATGATGTCTAGTCCAGTTGAGGACAGGCTGCTGGGCAGTTACCAGACGAACTTCTGTACCAGTCAGGTGAGGCGACCTTCAGTAATGAGACACACCCATTAATGCAGTCCATTTTGTTTGTTCATTTGTGGGGAAACTTATTTTTTTGAATGAGCCAAACACATGCACGAATGGATTAGATTTTTAAAATCCCCAGAACACATGCAAAATAAATACCAGGATTGGGGCTGGAGAGATGGCTCAACTCCCAGCACCCACATGTCAGCTAACAACCATCTGTAACTCCAGTTCCAGGGGATTCAATAACCTCTTCTGGCTTCCTTGAACATTGCATGACTCAGGTGCACTTACATGCAGGCAATATACTTATACACATAACATAAAAATAATAAAAATATTTTAAAAATAAACAAATGCAAGGATAATGTTTCACAACATTTAAAGCTGTTATATCCCTTCTCATATTCTTATTTTTCTTAAATTAATATTAACATGTGTCATATTCTTATATTACCAAAGAGGAAATGGAAAAACAGAGAGTTGATAAAATACATTTAGAATCAGTAATCAGGAAGCGTAACTATTGGGATGGGAGCTCTGTTTGTCTTCTCTAGTTGCCATGTCTTTGGAAACACATTAATATACTCACAGGAGTCTCTTGGTGCTAATGGACCAGTACCTTTGAGAACAGAGGATGCTGAACTGTGATCATCTTGGTTCTCATGGTTGATGGAAGAACAAAGGTGAAACTTCGTTGCCTTTTTCATTGTTTTGGCCCAACCAGTAGGTTCTTTCCCCTCACACCCACCAACAATCTAATTTTAAATAGCTCATTGAACTGCCAATTGTATTAAAGGCAAAGAGTGATCAATCCTATTTTTCCAATTCCAGTTCCTTGTAGAAGTGAGTATTGATAGATTTAAGCAAGAGTTGGGAGGTACAGAGCGGGGATGGCGAAGAAGACCGAGTACTGAGGTGAGCATGGTACTCAGATCCGGGGTGGGCCAGGAGGCTCTACTCTCTTTTCACCTCCCTCTCCTCCTCACTTAATTATGACCAGTGATGATAAGGAGCTAAAAGAAGAGGAGGAGGAAAAGGAGAAAGATGCAGAAGAGAAGGGGGAGAGTACATGGCAGAAAACAACAGGAAAAACATGTGGAAGAGGAGAGAACCCCGGAACGTGAGAGTTAAAAGCCACCACAGAAGCGCTCTAAACCAACTGGCTTCCTTCAGATAATGCACACTTCTGTTGGCTTAGTTTCACTGATCTACATCTACCAAAGTCAAGATGACTTTCTTCTTTAGCTGTGATGGAAGAAAAAGGGGGAGGGAAAAGATGTAAAGCCCTGGATTTGGAATCCAAACTGGTTTTATGTCCTGCCCTGTCAGTTCTCTGTCTTTGCATTTCTATCATTTAAAAAGTCTTGACCCGCACTCCTGCTGCCTATGAAATGAACTGGTCAATCCTTATCATCCTACAAAGTTTGATCTAAGGACCATACAAATTAATGGGTGCAAAAGTGCTTTAAAGCTTTAAAAAACTTTAAAAAATGACACAAATGTTAGTATAATTACACAGAGAGCATGAGAGTCCCCAAGCCCACGCTACCCTTTTGGGCCTCAGAGTGCACCTGCCTCTGGAAGATCTGTGTTACTTTAACAGAAAGTTAATTAGGTCCCTCACCCTCCCTCTGGATATTTGCCCGAGTTAGAAGTGCAGCTCAGCACACAAGCTCCATCATCCATATTAAAAGTGGGATTTTCTGACTTGGCCTGGGCAGCCAGTTGACCAATAGGTTCCAATGTGTGTTTTCAATAAAGCTGCTTACCCAGGAAGCCTTATTAAGTGAGTAAGTCAAGCTGACATGATTTCCTCACTGATTAATATGAAACCTAGGCTGTTTTTGCAATGCAGCAACATTAATTATTTATAGGAGGTAAATGAGGTTACAAGGAAAACAAGCTCCAATTACCAGAAACAAGTCAAATCATATATTTATGTTTTCAGAAGCCATGTCCTAATCCCTGCATTCACTGATTTGAGGCTCAAGCTTCAAGGATCAAAAACATTTCTCCTCTTTCTCACAATCAAAGGTAGTGGAGGGTTTGATGTTTCAGAGACTAAACTGGGATGCCCCAGTGGAGCTTATCAGACATTTTATTTGGTAAACTATACACCTACAAATGTCTCACCAAATTTCAAAGCAATTTAAACTCTTGCAATATTGAATGCAGATGTTTTACTAAATCACTACTCTCTTCTGATTTTCAAACAGCAAAAGTTGTGTAAAAAGTTCTGATTTAACATTTTCTGTTCACTAAGTGAATTGAAGTCAGCAGGCTGTTTTGTGGTTACAGAAAACAAACCAGTGTCATGCTCACGGCCACTATATTCTGTTTTGTTTAGCATTTGTTCCACATTTTTTATTGTTAAAATATTTTTTGATAGTTGCGCTAAAGCAATCTTGGATAGGTTTGGCAGATCACTGACTTGTGCTTCTCTTGGCTAGGTCTTTTCTCACCATGTGAGATGCATATGCATCACTTTAGCACGTGTGAAAATTTGGTAGATGGTCAGTGGCAACTCCTCTTTGCGTGTTCCTTCCAAGATGCCATGTCAGTAGAACTTCTAACACCACCAACGCTAGAGAGAACGCAAGGTGCTTATAAAGGAACAACGCTCTTCTAGCCGTGGTGGATGAAACATTTTGTGGTCACAGAGTATGCTAGCCAGGCCAGGCGTTGTGTGGCTGTTTTGTACAGGAAGCTTGAAGCCAGCTGTTGGCAGTGCCAGTGGGAAACTTGGAACTCGATAAGTTAGATGCTTTTGAAATGTCTCTAATAGAGCTTGAGCAGTCCTTTGTAGAACACATGGAGGCTTGTCTGACTGATCTTGTTGTAGTTTTTATTTGTTTTATGGTAGAAAAAGAACAGGTTACTTAAAATTTCAACATACATTTTATTTTGAACAATAATTTTGTATATATATTGTGCATTTATAATTATTTTTCACAATCTCACTTTAGAAAAATTTCTAATTAGACAATTTATATGCTCACCTACTTCCCTTTATGTCATAAATTTGAGAAAGAAAGAGAAATGAATGTGTGTTCAGACTTATATGCCACGTACTTCTGTGAAAATACCAAAAGATAAAGATTTTGAGAATGAAAAACTCTCTGTGGTGCACTATGCACTATGATGAAAAATCAAATAAATTTTCTTCTCTTGTGCTTGATTCTCCTATAACATGCTAGAAGTAACGATTATCTGGACCACTTTTTTGAGCCTTAGCTTTATCATTTAAGATGAAAAGAGAGACCCGCCACTCAGGAGGCAGAGGCAGGCGGATCTCTGTGATGGAGGCCAGACTGGTTTATATAGCAAGTTTCAGGCCAGCTGGGGCTACAGAGAGACCCTGCCTCAACCCCTCCATAAAAAGGAAAGACAAGAGTTTGTGCCCTATATACAAAGCACACAGAGTTTAATTGTTTTTTGACAGGGTCGCATATAGCTCAGGCTGGCCTTGAACTCTCTGAGTAACCAAGGATGACCTTGAACTCCTGATCTTCCTGTTTCCATTGCCCAAGTGGTGGGTTTCCAGATATATGCCAGCCTGCCTGTCACACCTTTGTTTTAAATTGGAAGTTTATGAAACTTAAAATTTTCTTTTCCCTCTTTCTAGATTCTAGAAATGGCAAAACTTTATGTGAAGTCCAAGGACTTGGTTGAACTGGTTAACACACCATCCTGGATGGACAAAGGTCTGGGCTCTCAAAATGATATAAAGGAGCAGGAGAGGAGACCAGGTTCTTATGGGATGCTTGGAACATTAACTGAAGAGCATGACAGTATTGAGGAGGAAGAAGAGGAGGAAGACGATGGAGAGAAACCTAAGAAAAGAGGCCCCAAGAAAAAGAAGATGACTAAAGCTCGCCTGGAGAGATTCAGGGCTCGCAGGGTCAAGGCCAACGCTCGAGAACGAACCCGGATGCATGGGCTGAACGATGCCCTGGATAACCTCAGGAGAGTCATGCCCTGTTATTCTAAAACCCAAAAACTTTCCAAGATAGAGACTCTTAGACTAGCAAGGAACTATATTTGGGCCTTGTCTGAGGTGCTGGAGACTGGCCAGACACTTGAAGGCAAGGGCTTTGTGGAGATGCTCTGTAAAGGGCTCTCTCAGCCCACAAGCAACCTTGTGGCTGGATGCCTCCAACTGGGGCCTCAGTCTGGCCTCCTGGAGAAGCATGAGGAAAAATCTACTATGTGTGACTCTACCGTCTCTGCCCACAACTTCAACTACCAATCTCCAGGGCTCCCCAGCCCGCCTTATGGCCATATGGAAACACATCTTCTTCATCTCAAGCCTCAGCCATTCAAAAGTATGGGAGACTCTCCCTTTGGGAGCCATCCCCCTGACTGTAGCACCCCCCCTTATGAGGGCCCACTGACGCCACCCCTGAGCATCAGTGGCAACTTCTCCTTGAAGCAGGATGGTTCTCCCGACTTGGAAAAGCCCTATACCTTCATACCACATTATACGCCTGTGAGTCTAAGCTCGGGGCACATGCATTCAACACCCTTCCAGACTGGCACCCCCCGCTACGACGTTCCTGTAGATGTGACCTATGATTCCTACTCCCACCATGGTATTGGAACTCAGCTCAATACAATCTTCACTGATTAGGGCAGAGAAATCTAGTGTTTCAGAGAATGAAGTGCAGACATTTCCTGTTTGTAATGGCTGAGCAGAAGACTTGAGAATTTTATAAAACCCTTTGGATATACATCAAACAGAATAGTCCTAGTTCATTTAGGGCCTCCCACAGCTGCTCCCACTTTCTTCTTATTAATTTCTCACAGTCTCTCAATTCCTGTAAATATAGGATCTTCATGGAGGAAATATTCGGTGGTGTGCAGCCATGTGATAAAAGAACAGAAAACTTAGGCCCTGTGGCAGTGGTGTCAAAACTCATGGAATAATCTGCTGATTAACTTTCTATTTCCAGTGTTTGTTGCTATCTGATACACATGGAACAACTGCTCTAAGTCTATATCTAACTTTGATCACTCATAAATTTCTTAAAACTGAGGAGCAATAAAAGGAAATGGCCTGAATGAACGGATCAAATTGAGCTGTTGGGGCAAACAAGGTGCGTGTCTGTCAGCTCGCAGAACAACATGCTCATTTGAATTTGAAAAAGCTTTTCTGTATCTATCTAAAAGTAATATCTAGAGACAAATATGCCAATTCGGCTATTACTGTGAATAGCAAAATATGCTGTTTAAGCGATTAGCTCTATTTCTCATTTATGGAAAGGTGAAACATCTTTCTTAGTGATTTGAGAACAATAATAGAAGCCTCCTGTCAGTTTTATTCTTGATAGTATTTCAAAAGCAAGTTTCTTAGTACTAAATGTACTAAGAAGAGAGAAAGTCATTGAAATCTCTGACTTCTGTGATCAGTGGGACACAGAGAAGCCGTAGTTCATTTCCTAGTTTGTAACTAAAGGGCTGTGGAAATTCTGTCAGTGTTCAGGTGCTACTGTTACAATCAGAAAACAGCCATGTTCACATTACAAAGCAATAAAATGGCTATTGATTACCGTACCAACTACCATAGTTCCTGGACTCTGCCTTACACTTGCCCATAGGAAACCTGGATTTTCTCTTGCAAGATGAATTTGATTGGTTAAAGCAAAATGATAAAATCCAGTGACCTCTGTCCATGCCAGTAGGATATTTTTCAGAACCACAAGCACTGATCAACTTATTGACTAAGCTTGAATTTTTACAATGTACATGGAACTCTTTCCTTCCCTTCCCCTCTGGTTATTACCTCTTCCTCAAGCCCAAGATATAATGTTACTATACAGTATAAAAAGCATTTCACACGAAAACACTTAAGAGATTAAGAAGCAAAATCTGAGGTCGATGAGTGCTTTTACCAGCCTGTATCTCCATCGCAGATTTTGCTCAGTCTGAGGAGTGTTTACTTCCATGGGTGTGACTTCTGTTTCCCTTATATCAACACTGACTTTCAGTTTCTCTGTTACCAGAGAAATGAGATCTGAGAAATTTTACTATCCTGCTCCACCTGCCAGAACAATTATTTAGGTTTAACCCAAGAGCATAAATAACTTATTTGATAGGAGGTCAAATTAAATACACAAAAATACATTTAATGAAAGATGGGTATAACAACTTCTAAGGCTGGCTCACCCCCTGAAATCTGTCAAGGTGTAAGTTAACTTTTATCTCTTTAAAGCTCCTATATCCCTTGTACTATAACTTATTTTGTTACCATTGTTCTCACAGCACTAATTCTGTGCACTCTGCACTCATGGTTTATAAATGAATTGAAAAGTTTTGTAAAGAGACCTTACACTCCATGAGCCATAGAAGTGGTTTTCAGCTCATCTTGATTGCTCTAGTGGTAGGCAAGGAAAATTATTTATAGTCGTCCTCTGTATTTTCTGAGTATGTGTTGGTATTTACCTAGCATTTATGTTTGTAGATAATAAATTCTGAGTTATTTATTAGATATTATTTATTTAATTTATTTTCCCCATTTTACATACATTCTTTGGGGTCTGTAGATACACTTGCAACTCCTTCTTAAAGCTTCATTTTGAAAGTAGCTTATGATTTTGGAGTAAGGGAAAAAGAGGAAGTTAGTTCTTGATGGCTTGTAATGATCTTTTAAAAAGCAGCAATAACTTGAATGGCTATGCAACATAATGTTTTTAGATGAGTTATTTTATTGCTTATGCCTTTGGAGAGTATAGTACACATGAACCAAGCCTCTGCAGAATCATGCAGAGGGATTTTATAATTGAATATAAATGTAGTCCTGTAGCTCACTTGGGAAGAACATGTTCTCAAAATTAAGTTTATTTTTCTGGGGCACTTTTCTAGGCAAATCAAAGCAATTGTTTGAAAAATATTTTGCTTATAAAATGGTGGTTTTTCTCTCCTTTTTTTCTAGCAGAAATAAAGCTGTGAGTCCTATTTGCCTGTTGTACTTTTTGTTGCTGGTGGTAGTCTTCAAAGATTTCGTATACTTCCCTGTTTCTTTTCCTGGCTTATGTTTAGTGAACAACCAGTACAGAAGGCCCTCACGTTCTTTCTCTCAATCTCACCAGAAGATTTGAAAGGTCAAAATTATGTATCTAAAAGTCTCTGTCTTTTATACGGTAAATCATTAGGGATTCGTTAGCCTACAGAGAGGTGGGCCATGGAAAGATGGGCTATTATCTGCAGTTGACTCAGCCTACCAAATTTGAAAAAAGTTATGAGGTATGATTTCTAGAAATTGCCCTTTAATATCCTTTGTTTTGTTTTGTTCTGTTTTTTTCTCTTAGTAATATTTTCCAAGGATCCTTCTTACATGGATAAATGCTAAATTCAAGGGTCTAATAATGACGATAATTATAAATTAATTTGTTGTTCAACTAAGGGAAGGGCTTGAGTTTAAATATTTGAAAAACAAAACAAGGGGCTGGAGAGATGGTTCAGCAGCTAAGAATGCTTACTGCACTGCCAGAGGACCTGGGTTCAGTTCCTAGACCCCATATAGCAGCTAACACCCATCCTTAACTCTAGTTCCAGGGGATCCAATACCCTCTTCTGGCCTCCTCTAGCACCAGGCATGCACATGGTGCACTCACATACATGCAAGCAAAACACTCATACACATAAAAATAAACAAATAAAATATGTATTTTAAAGAAACAAATAGTATAGAAAGAAAGCTATCTTCCCATCTGTCCCTTGCATCTGATGCTCCTGGTCTCAAGACAAAAACCATTAAAAAAAAAAAAAACAAAAAAACCTCACAATTAAACTGGGCATGGTGGTACAAAGCTTTGATTCCAGCACTAGGGAGGCTCCGTGAGTTCAAGGCCAGCCTGGTCTACATAGAGAGTTCCAGGCTGGCTGGGACTACAAAGAGACCCTGTCTCAAATGATTCTATGGCAATGGTGTCAGCATACACAAGTCCCATGCAAACTCAGGCAGATAATAACCCAGCATAGAACAGCAGACCTCAATCTTATCTGAAGGAATGTTGGCAACTGATTGTGGCTAGATGAAGAAGAGTTGATCTTCCTGAAACAAGGGACTCTAGATAAGCTGACTAGATTCAGTGGACAGACTTGCACTGGAGAACAGCTGGGGGCACTGACAACACAGTAGCCCTTAACAGGGATAACAGAGTATATGGGCTCCAGTGGGGGCGGGTATGGGAGGGTGCCAATGGGGATGGAGGTATAAAGATGATTAAGATTGTTTGAGTTGTTCTGTATGAAATACACAAAAATTCAATAAAAGGGAGGAAAAAAAGAAGAATAAAAGAAAGGTAACCAAGCAAACCAGGAGAAGCAAGCCAGGAAAATAACAAAAAACAAAACACCAAAACCCAAAAACAAATGAACAACAGACAACCAATTAGTTTAATAATTAAAAGAGATCTTTTATACCTACATAAGGGGCTGTCTCAAATATTAGGATTATTATTCCCTCCCTGTTCCACTCATGATAGTGTAATGAAATAGTTTTGCATATTGCTTTAATATTTAAAAACATCTCTTAGAACATTTTCACATCAATAATTCTTACCACATTGATGAAATTAGCTGGCATTAAACATTAAAATAGTATAATTCATGAAACTAAAGTCAGAATTTAGATTTTCCCCATCTTGTGCAACAATAAACGATTTCGTATACATTCCATGTGACAGTTACCTGGAGAATCTTTACTTTGTGAAGTAAGCTTTAAAGACACAACAGACAGTCTGATGGATACTTAAAATTGCAGCTCTTAGATATTGGCTATTTACCTTGTAAGTCAGATTCCTAAGTGGTTTTCACCTATTTATTCTTTCAATTCTGATGATTCCTATAACACAGTTGGTAGTATTATTTCCATTTTACAGATTAGGAAACTAAGGCAAAGTAATCTTCTCAAGCTTTCACTGCTTGCTGATGGTGGAGCTGGAATTTTAATGAGGTGATTCATTTAAAGGGTCCCTGGAGTTCTTCAGGGCTTGTTGATTCATTTAAAAGGTCTCTAGAGTTCTTCAGGGCCTGTTTCATAGGGCTGGAGTAAATGAAAGTGGGGTTGCTGCTTGAGACGTCATAACTTGCCTTTGACCCTACTACATTCCAATCTGACCCATCACCACACTCTGCAAAGAAGAGAGAAGAGTTTCTTCTTTGACAAAAGCCAAAAGCGTTACTAGATTTGGCCTATGCAGACGATGTAGGTGCACGGAAGACCCTACATTAATCTGATGTTGCTTGGAAGTGTGCACTGTTCATAGAGCTTGCATCCATTTCCTACTTTGATTTCACATATCTTTTCACGTAAGAAATATGTTTTACTATAATATAGATATGAAAATAATAAAATTTACCATCATAGAAGCATCTCATTTTTAAGTTTAGTTATTCAATCTATATGACTCTGGGGGACAGCTCAATGTAGTGATTACATCATGTTCTAGTTTGTTTCTCCATCGCTGTGACAAAATACTCTGACCAATACCAACTTGGGGAGGAAAGGGTTTATTCAGCTTACATCTCCCAGGTTCATCAGGGAGCCCAAGGTAGGAACTCAGGGCAGGAACCTGGAGGCAGGAGTTGGAGCACAGGCCATGGAGGAACGCTGCTTACAGGCTTGCT